GGAAAAATAACCATTTATGTGTGTACAAGGTGCAATGACTAAAGAGGTCAAAGAAACGTTCAATAAACCGTGAAATAAATGCAGAAACCGTCCTCAAGTTCAGTATCAAATTTATGGAGCGCCCTAGTACAAGCATTTTTAGGGCCGTAATGAGAGAAAAAAAGAGATTGGAGCAAGTGCAGGAAATAATTTTACCGCACGCAATCTGCAAGTTGTTATAAATTTTCCTAAAATGCCGGTTTGGTTTTACGAGTAAATGTTTTGCCATGGTTTTCGCTCGAATGATCATTTTTAGTGCAGCTGCAATCGAAAAGTTATGCTCAAAATCGGAGTTTTATCCGAATCGGATCAGCTCTTCATTTACATATAATTATTTAAATTATAGTCAATACTCAAATAGTGCCTTCCGACTGACATATTTAAAACGTAGATAAGAAAAATATATTATACGTCAAGTAAACCCGTTTGTTTAGAAAGTATGAATGAGTGCGATCGGTACGATTTTAAAGAACCTGTGGGAATGTGGAAAGTGCATAAAGAGGAAACAATTGTACGCATTTAAAAAGGGCAATACCCTGACACATTACGCAAAAATGTCATTTCGCTAAATATGTAGGAAGGGAGAAAAAATAACTTCGCATTCTCATAGTCATTTTCCTGTAACCGTGCCAACTTGCTCTCTAAGTGTTGCAAACCGGCATTTTTGCCTTCTTAACTATTAATTCTAATCATTTTAAGACAACACATTCACAGACCTATAAATAAACAATGCATCGATTTCGTGGGACCCACTCATTCAATTTGGACACCGACCAAGTCAGCTGATTGCGATTTATAACAACTTTATTTAACAACCGAAACTTTGCAATAATTACTATAAATTCTCATTTACAAACCAATGATGGGTGGTCGTCGATGAATACCGTAATTGTCCGCGTTTTTACGCCTAATTGGACCGCTGTTATCTAATAAAACTTTGATAACGCTGACGCTCGCCATTCATCAACAAGAATGGGAAATTTCACCAAAAATCTTCGAAACAAGAATTCTGATTTAAGTGGTGAAAAAATTCCAAATATAGGGTGTTTTATAAAAAAAAATGACAAGATAAGATACGAGGAACATTAATTTTTTTTTTAATTCTCTGTCAAAAATTTTTGACATTCTTTTACCGATGGTCTTATATAGGTATGTTTTTTCATAATAATTCAGTAAAGGTACAAAAACTTTGTAAATAAATGCTACAAATAACATTAAACATAGTTACAAGATACCAGGCACATGGAAAAAAATGTTAAAAAAATTCTATCTATAAAAATTTCGAAGTTATAAGAGTATAAATTTTGCACTTTGATTCTATTTAATTCTGTTGGAAAAATAGTTTTCCGAGTTTTCTTGTCACAGACTATTAGAAGAGGAAACAAGGAAGCTGTATCCTAAATTGTATGTTATTTATGGCTTTTGTTGGCAAAATTTTTATTACCTTCACTAAATAATTATAAAAAAAACATATACAAGATCATCAGTATCATTAAATAGAGATAAAAAAATTAAACACTTTTTCCATGTACCTGGTACAGCTACAATAAAAAAAAAAAACGGAAAATAAAATTTTTCCAAATATAAATTCGGTTCTAGTTGTTAATTGTCAACTTGACATTACCTATCAAAAATATTTCTATTAATGGCATTAAATTTATACCAACTTGTATAAAGTAAAATCGTTTTCCTAAGACCTACTAAAAATTTTATTACTTTTAAGTTAAATGCGGTATTGTTAAGAGTAAACCAGAGGGTAAACAAATCATAAATTAGTGGAACCCACCCGGACCTTAAAACAGGTCAGTTTTTAACAGGGCCGGATTACTTACTTTCTTTTTGTCTAAAATACTTGAAATGTTTTAATAGTTTTTGATGTAGTTGTTATTAAAGTATTTTAAGAAATTTAAAAAAGCCGGTTATTAACAAGCTATTATTAAATAAAGCGGATTTTTTTTTAATAATAGCTTAGCAAAACTCTACCACTACTTTAGTTTTAAATATGGCCCTGTTTTATTTTAGTGGGTGCAGCAACACTTGCAAAGGAACGTCCCATTTATGGAGGGTTACAAATTCAAGCCATTGTTTGGTTAATCCCTTATAATGTGTGATAAAATTTTTAGTAGGTCTTAGGAAAACGATTTTACTATAATGCTGCGAAAGCCAGAATCGTCGAAAATGGTGAATTTAGCGGCAGAATTTAGAGTACCATCAAAATATTTTAACCCATTTTTAATAAAACACGTTCATACTATGAAAAAATTGAAAAAAAACCTCTAATTTTTTTGACATTTCTCGTTTTTTTTTATATGTAGATGTATTTTATCTTACTTGAATTTTTTCTCTAGAGTTCTGACACACCCTTTACAGCTTTTTTGTTTCTTCTTTTAAAAGTCTGTAGCAAAAAACTTGGAAAATTATTTTTCCAACAACAATAAACAGGGTCAAAATAAAAACCTCGATAATTTTAAAATTCTTATCGATAAGTTTTTAACATTTTTTTCATGTTCCTCTAATCTGGCACTTATCTTTTTTTGTGTTTTTGTAAAATTCTAGACATGGTCAATGAAAACACCCCTTGTTTTGCTATAGTTTCTGATGAAAAGTATACATGTTGTGTTATTTTGGACCACTAGATTTAGTGTCAGCTTGCGCAAACAGAAGCTTGTAGAAAAATTATGCATCCACTTTAGTAATTCGTTGTTTATTTTGTTTGTTGGCTCATTATTTGAGGCGAAGCTTCCTTTAAAGTTGCTTTGTGGCAGCCACATCAAGCGTCGAAATTCCCCTATTTACATTGTAACCCCGTAGTTTCTGTTTTTCTTCCTGTTAGATAAATTTCTAAAAATTTTAAATTGGTGAAACGGTGCTACTTTCTTTCATGGTGGAGTGTATAAAATATTTACTTACAAGCTCATAAATCGGAAATTTTCTCTTATGTAAGTGATGGACAAGTTTAATGAGACGACTTGGAGAGTAGCTAGGGTTACAACGGTGTTAAGTACAGTATTTGTTCGTCGGGTTTTTCGTTTTTAGCCGATAAATAACATTCATGCTGACAATAAAATACCTTGGTATTAGTTTATAGGGATGGCTCTATTCTTAATAATTATTTTTATTGTCTGAAAATCCACTCCGAGATAGAATTGTCGCTTCGGCATATTTTATTTTTAACAGAAGAACAAATCGGTTTAGAATTACCACTGCAAGTGCTAGGGGCGCAGCGTGATGCACGGTATATGTCACTGACAACAGATATATGTATACTTACTGTCATTTATATGTAAAACACAATCTTTTATTCGAGTCATTATTCACATTTCGGGAATAACTCTACTTAGGGTTCTTGTATTTTTCAAATTAACGATTTATTTATTGCATTGCTTTGTCGAACGATTTCGACCGCTTGACAGATACATTACTATAATTCTTATACTGCCGAACCTTGCGTGAGAACACACTTGTGCAACGCTTTTTTCGGAAAATAAATTCCGGCCCCCTTTCTAACCAAAGTTTTATTATTTGAAAAAATCGACTCGCAGCTCTGATGAAAATTTTACTACCGAGATTAATGAGTCCATAAAATAGAAAACATTCTTACCAACAGAGATGTACTTACTGTACTTTTATTAAATAATTTGAAATGCAAATCGCGATTTTATTACTCTGGTGATTTATGTCGATCACTCTCAGGAAAAGTAATTTTTCGAAAAAATGAATGAAATATGATCATACCTCACTGTGGAGGCTGTTGGATTCAAAATATGTTATGCAACCGTGTGCTGAAAATTTTGAACGTGATTTATAGTGTAAACTGGGGGAATATATGATGCAATTTAGAGTAAAGTCGGTTTCATTGTTGAAAACTAATCCAGAAATAAACGCCCCCGATTATTTGGCCTTTGTCGAATTCTAATAAAAGCGCATTTTTCCTTCAGAGCGTGGCTAAGTGCACAGGTATTTTCGCGAAAGACTTAGCATGAAAGAAATTGTGTTCCGGGTTGGCCAGTCTTCAAGTCTCCTTGAAGTCTTTCAGTGTTTTATGCGATGAAATGTCACTGTATGACAATACGAGATGCCGTAACCTAAAATAAGTTCAATTGGCAATTTCTCACATTTCAATAAAAAAATTCGCAAAATTTATTAAATGTCAAAGAGCGTGCTATTAAAGTGTTGGCTAGGACCGCTACTATGTCAATTCTATAAACACACGAATGGGGTCCTCTAGGACGTGTGCTTTCTCCGACAATTAACTTTTTATTAGTCTTCTTCTTTAATTAGGTTTTACGGCTTTTTTCATTACAATACTTGAAATTTTGGTAAGTAATAATGGAAGCAATTAACAGTTGCGTGTTTTGAAAACGGTTTGTTTTTGTGTTTTAATTTTATAGCTGCACAAAGCTGTTAAATATATGTAAAGTGCAATATACTCGTCTTTGAGAGCAACAAATGCTGCTTGATTAGCGTCGGCATTTTCATTGTGGTGAGAAAAGTAGCTTGCGACCATAGGGTCAAATTAATGCTTTCAATTAAGTGCAGAAATTTTCCCAAATTCTTCTTTCTTTTGTGTTTTGATGGGAGATATCGATGCGTAAACTTATCCGTTAATTGAAAATAAAGGTTTAATCTGTCGGGCTGGTTATTATGAAGGAGCTTTTTATTTTGCCTGTCTGGTTTAATAAGTTTATCGGTGCGATCTAATAACTGGAAATCATCAAATAATGGCCAATATTTGAGGCGATTTTCGCTGAAATATAACCAACAATTATCGGTTTTATTGCTTTCTAATAACAGCTCTAGCTCTGATTCCCCGTGATCAGATTTAAGAACCATGATATCATTTGTCTTGCAAACAAGTCGGCTCATTTCCTAATCAAACTTTTGATCTGAATGTAGCCTTGTATCGGCGACTCTAATCCCACAATCACTTCATTTTATCCTAATTAAAGTTTTTTTTTCAGCTATTTTGCAAAGGACTACGGTTGGCATTGGCCAAATGAAAATTCAAGGAGTAGCTACTTGTCAGTATTTATGCATGGATAGTTGCGGATTGCTCTACGGATCGGTAAGTTACTCTCAAAGCTTTACATACTTTCACTTATTGTTCGAGATATTGAGACCTTAATTTCTAAAACGTAATCAACTGAAGCATGAATACTAAACGGCTATTTAATGCTACAACCCCTGCCCCAAAGCTCACTTTCGCGCTTTTTATACCCAACTTGTTGCTTCCGGAATGTTCCAGTGTGAAAATAATCGCATTTTGGTCGACATGGAAACACGACAGAATTTTTTTTTATTTAGTTCAAAAAAATTTGTTGTTTCTATTTGGGCAAGGAAATATTTGTTTGCTTCTAAGTCTTATTTATTTATGTAATGAAGTGACATGGCTGCCCTTCTGCCAAGGATTTTTTAAAGTTAGAACAGAATAACGGAAATGAAGAAGTTTAAATGAAAAATTTAATTAAAACACCGGAAAAATGGATTAGTTAAACTGAAGAGATGTGACGTCAAAATGTGAATTAAATAAACGGTTGAAATTATTATAAACTATGAAATAAATGACTGAAGAAATAAGGCCAATTTTAGTTATTTAATCTACCCAGAAACACACATGACGATCACACATTGAGGACACTTGAGGTTAAGGTAAACAAAACAAAGGTATCCTCAATGAGCCAAAAATTAACACGTTGCAGTTAAAATAAAACATTTTTTTTTAATTTTCAATAAAAAAAAAGATTTACTTCTAATACGCAATTATTTGGTTCAATTTTCATATTCAAAACTTCGGGTGTTTTTTTTTTACTGAAAGTGATAATTTGTTTGTTTTAAATGGTATTTTTTTTATTGGGAGAGGATAATAATAATAATTGACAATGTACATGTAAGCACGGACATGAATATAAAATCTAGAAAAGTAAACTTTGAAATTTTTGAAAATAGATCATAAACTTTTGATTTCTGTGTAAAAGAAGAACAAATTTTAAGCCAGAAGGTTTGATTGTTTCATACAGAAAAAAAAAATTGAAAAAATATAATTGTCTACATTATGCTTAAAATCACTTCTATGCAGTGTACATTTAAGAGCATTTAATTCAAAGTAGAACTAAATATTTTCTAGTCTAGCATTGCATATGAAAACCAACGACAAATAAGTACAGCTTGTCAAGAATAAGAAAGGCTGCGAGATGCGCAGAAGATAGAAAGAGCGAATCTCTGTAAGAGAGTGATGGACTCTGTCTCTCTATGTATTAGAGAGAGAAGCTCCTTTCTCCATCCTTATTTTGTCTATTGCGCACCCGCGACTCAGACCTTTTTTATTCTTGACAATCTGTAGATCATGATACCAAATTTGAGAGGAGGAATTTAATTAAAGGCTTAAATATTTCTTTTTGTCATTTTTCCGGAGGTTGTTTCAATTAGTTTTAATTGGTTAGTTATACGGCACACTAAATCCCATTTTCGATATTTTTAGAAGTGTCTTGTGGACTCAGGTTAAAATAAAACGGTGCTTTGCTGTGCAAATTTTCTCACATTATTTGCAATTTGCAAATGTGTGCCAATGACAAGTCGATGTTTTAGTGATTGGGATAAATATTTGAAGTAAATTTTCGAATAATAGTAGTCTGGGATTGGAATATCAATGCACTATTGTGTTTGATAAAATACAGATAAGTGAGCGCGATAAACAAACCAATCTTAAGTATTATCAATAATACTAGTTAGTGTTGAAAAAAAAGCGCGAACCTGATTCTTTGTTGCGGCACTCATTTAGATACGAGTACAATTGAGGCCATGCGCCATGTTTATTGTTTTGTATTTGAAAATATTCCACACAACCTCGATTTACAACAATTTCGTCGATTTTCGTGTGTCTGGTGGTGTGGATTTAACGAAATCGTTTAATTTGGACCAAAGGAATTGATGAATGATGTAAATATTTTGTAAGTAGATGTAATCCGCTACTGGATAATTTCTAGTAAAACACTTCTACAAACAAATTTAAAAGTGGCGAATATATTTGATAGTGTAAACAGAAAGCTCATTGATCTGTCGAGTTGCGTCGTGATTTTGGTACTAGAAAAGGAAGAAACGCGTCAAATTGATAAAAACTCTCGTTTACTGTTCGCGCTTTTATGAGTTATAAACTAGATCCGTTTGCCAAATGCGGTTTTTTGAGTCGATTTGCACGACTGAAATTGGTTCAATGAATTCGATGAAGGCAATCAAAGAAAATTCCCAATCATGTCGAGGTGGTACCCAGTTGTTTAGGGGAGTTTTATCTCCGCTATCTTAATGTCGGTAATAATTACTTGTGGGATTGATTAGGGGGCGGAAGGGTTGTTGGGTTATCTTAACAGGACGCCATGTAAAGGCGCCAACTATTTCACTCAATTCTTTAATTTGTTGGAGTTGGCTTGTCGTCTTAATTATCAATTAATTAGTTCGGATTAAGTTATTTTAGCAATTATGCCACCAAACCGAATGATTTATCGACTCCACTTGAAAAAGCGTGCCCACAATCCTCCTCAAGTGCCTTGCTTTGTATCAATTATCACCTCCTACTACCTCAAATCACTTCAAGTGGATTTTTTGTGCGGACTCAAGAGACTCATCTTTATAAACATTTACACGAATTACACGAGCGTGCTGTAATTTCTAGATTCACAAGTCAAAAACACGCTTTATCAAGTCATTAATAATTTTACAAAAATAAATACACGCCAAACATTAAAGACGGTTTAGTCTACATCTTTTAAACACAATATTTAAATAATCACACACAGATTTATTACCTTACTTTATTTCCCTTTTATTAACAACCCGGCATTCCATTTACCTCATTAATTACCAGCCAAAACCACGGAATTTTCTACTAAAGCCATATTTTTCTCCTCCGTTTCTTCTAATTTATTGTCTAATTATCCAAATGGGTCAAAGTGAACAATAAAATACAGTTATTGTAAATTCGCTTTAATTCAACTAAACAATACAAGTTTCCGGTTTCCACTTTGTTACAGTTTGAAACTGAAAGTCAATATTAGGCAACACATGAGTCAATAATCGAAAAATAAAAGAATGACATAAAATGTACATTAATAATAGAAAGTGGATTATCTGTAATCGATCCGGTACACTATCGTTTTTTACACTGAGATTTATCAATAATTAAAACAGTTTCCAGGTAAAACTGGTTTTTAAATTTAATTTCTAAATTTCCGGGTTCTCATTGAAGAATGTGTCTCGTCAGCAGCTACCAATTGTGCTCCTACTTACACCGATCTAACCCCTATTGATTTCTCATTGACACGGAATATAAACAACGGATGATTCCAATAAATATGTAAATCCTTTTGGCTTCTGGTTGTTACACTATGATAAGCGGATTGTCAAAGAAACTTGTTAGGGGACTTAAATATTATAATTTACATGAAATGAGCATTAGCTCGTGTTTGTTTTGCGGACTAAATCAAATCTGATAGTGTTGAAGGCTCAGACAGAAATAAAACAAATGTTTTGTTTAACGTTTGATTTGGATTGGGTCATTTTTGGGGTTTTTGCCACTTAAATCACGCTAAATTCATTATAAATACAAATATTTATGGGTTATTGGCAAAAAGGAGTGCTGTAATTGGAAACGATTTGAAATTTAAATTCGAAATTACTCTTTAAATCCTATCCTAGACAGCTTACTTTTATAATAAATTGCATACTTTTGAGCGCAATTTATTCCCCATTCAATCTAGGCAATTTTGTTGCTGCAACTGCATTTTGTTTACTTAAATTTACAAGTCGCATCGCGCATAAAATACCAATAATTGCAAAATTATTCCACTCGTCGAAAAAATGAAAATTATTCATCGGCAGGAAACTATTTGAGATATTTATGAATTTCCCCATCGTTGATGAAAACAGGTTCGCCAAACTGTAACTTCCGTTTACAATACCGGATTTTTATAGCATCTCCCGAACCTGTGAAGGGTCGTTTTATTTATTCTGCAGCGATTACACTGGTAGTTTGCTATCCTTGGAGCTCGACATCTTTTTTCCTGAGACGATTGCGTCGCACCTGCAGACGTGTTTTACTAAATAACATTATAATAGAGAAATGTATGCGTATTATGCGTTTTTAAGGAGCTTGTTTTACCGGAATTGCAGCAAACGTAATTATGCTTATTATCTCGCCGCGTTATGATTCCAAAAAAATTGCTGTCAGACAAATTCATAATTATTTTTAACGATTACAAATGCCAAAATTTTCACTCTAGCAACATTCCAAGAATTCTCTCTTGCCACAGGCGAGGAAGTAGTTGTCTAGTCTTGAGTATTTTTGAATGTTTACTGATACCCAACAACATTTATTAGCCTTGTTGGAATATAAATGAATATCGGTAAAATTTGACGCAATTTTATGATATTTCAGCTTGGAAAACACTTGGAGACAGCCGTAAATGTTCCAATTAGAAAGAACATACACAGTAATTGAGTCGTATTTATTTGACCGAGTTTTCAATAATAGAAAAATTAGTCATACAGAGTGCATTACCCAACGCCATTCAAGAATTTTCTATGCTCTGGTAAAAATTCGTGTCACCTTTCTCGATTTTTGATCAAAAACTTCTAATTATGGAAATTGATTCACTCCCCACCGGGAGAATTTATAACGACCTGTTTAACATACCCTAAGGTCAAAAATAAACTCTTATCATGTTTTTGAACAAATAATAATTTGCCACTGATTAGCTTGGGAGTGATCCATTAGCGTTACTTCACCATTATGTAAATTTCTTAAGTGCAATAATATAATTATTTGTATTACGAGGGAGGAAAGTGCATCTTTTCCTTCCATAGGTGGAGGAAAAAACACTTTCCTCCAATGTAACACACATAATTTTTTCTACGATCCAGCAGGAAAAACTTTAAAACTGACAGTTTCTTTTGATATCCCAGTTTTATCATAATAAATCTAGCAGCATGTTTTTATGGGGGAGGTAAAATTTTTGCCTTCTTGCTAGGAAACTAGCTAAATCGAGCAAATGTATGGTAAAAGTAGTCATTGGG